AGACAAATTAAACAAGCTAAAAATATCCAATCATGTGTGGCAGAAGACCATTGATGACAGTCTATGGATGGTTTGTTAACATCTTAGGATTTTGAGTGGTGATATCTGATTTTTGGAAGTGATGTGTGGTTTTGTGTAGTGATATATGTGATTTTTGTGGTGTTATGCGATTATGTGATTTTACATTAAGAACTTAATTAACTTTCTTTCTCATTTTGTATGCAAATTCAACAATTGTATAGAATATAGATTATTATTAAGTAATTATGAATAAGACAAATGTTTGCATTGCATTAATTGTTTCTTTTACTCATTCTACTCACTCTGTAAAGTAATGTGATGTATGAAGGCTTGTTTATAAGTAATCTCTGAATGTGTCACTGATAACGTGATCATTTTTTTTTATTCACACCAAGTAGATATTCTTGAGTTTGATAAGAAACCAGTTCAATTTTTCTGATAACACACTCTGTGAAATGGCTAACTATTAAATAAGGCAGACCACATTATTTAATTAATATAATTAAATGGACTTTTATTCATTGCCTATTGACGTTTATCACAACAGAAGGCATATGTCTATTGTCTGTTACTATCACATTGTTGCTACAGTTATGGTTTCATCCATATTTGTAGTTTTTTCTTTTAATTTTTTAAAATTGACTTTATAATAATTCAACAGTTTAAGCAATTGTTTTGAATTAGTTCTTATAATAATATAATCAACAGTTTAAACAATTTATTCAAATTATTTGAAAATTTTAAACATCCAACACATTAAACTCACCAATTGATGTTCAATAATCCATAGATTATTATGGACTGAGTATTTTATTTATGTTCTCAACACAGATAATGTTATTTATCGTAATCTTTCAGTTTTGTATTATTTATTATTTTCAAAACCTACATTGTTATTAGCTAATGTTATTCCTTCATTTCACAAATATAATTTCTTCTTAGTTCATTGAATCTTAAAATTAGAGTGTTCTTAGGTTTACTAGTTACATTTCCATCAGATAAGTTTTATGGTCTCCTTGGAACAATGTGACCAAGTATTCAACTCTCTCACATGCTCTGGTTTTGGCAAAATCCCTGGCACATCTCTGAGGTAGCGTTGTGTTGTTGTTGTGTGTTGTGTTGGTCGTTGTACTTTTGTGTTGTTGTGTTTTGATGTGTTATGTTATTAAGCTGGTTGTTGTTAATTTGTAACGGTTTTATTTATTACATGTTTGTTAGTTGAGATTTTTATATGGGTTTTCCATAGTTTTATTTATTCAAGGGATTCTGAATTTAGAAGCGTCGTCATATTCATAGAATTTTTAAATGTTGTTATGGGCAGACGTTAATATTATTTTTGCATTTATTTGGTTTAACAGTTTTTTTTATCACTATTCTTTATGTCATATTAATTCACACAACTGTTTATACATCAAAATTTTTTAATTTACGTTTTTTTTTCAATCAACCCTCAACATCTGCAGTATATTTCCAACAAGTGCTCACAAGGAGGAGCAGAATGAATCAGAGGATGACATTGCAGCTAGAGCCAAGTACTCTATTATAATATTTCCATTTCCTTCAATTCCATATTTAGTCTATTTAATTGGGTTAACTTTAACAAATGGTATTCTACTATATTATATTACAGATTTATTGGGTATTTTATATGATTTAGGTATTTATTGTCAGTATTTGATTAATGTACACTGTTGATAATGGTATAATGGGATAGTTGTTATTATTCAGTTAAATTTTTCGTAGGAGCACAAACGAAAAAAGTGAATTTATGAAATCTATAAAATCCAGTCTTACAGTAGCCCAGGTTTGTTTTTGTTTGTTTGGATTTTTTTGTTTTTGTTTTTTATTATTTTTGTTTTTCGTCATTAATGTCTGCAATAATTTCTTTGAACTTTGTTTGATGTCCTTCACCATCCTTAAACTCTCATTCATTTTATAAATGGCTACAACCTTTCATTTCTTCAGCATCTTTTCTCTACCTTGCACATTTATGTGTTTTAGTGCATGTTTATAGGTATCATTTAATAAAATTAACATTCGTTTAATAATATTTTCATTTAAAATTTGTTTACCAACTAATAATAACATAGAGCTGCAGAGATGTAAATTATAAATAACTTCAATGGGATCATACTAATAAATAAGATTCGCTCTCAGCCGAAGTTTATTTATTTAACATTTTCATTTTCTTCTATTTTGTAGAAGCATGTGAAACTAATTTGTAGGGAGTTTTGAATTTCTGTTTGACGCCAAGTTATTTTATTCAATTTACTACATTTGTATTAGTAACAGTGGGCAAGTAACTTTTAGAACTTGTAGTTTTGTCGATGATTGCCCACATAATTTTGCAGACGTTTTTTATTTCCCTCCTTTATCCATCCACTGATCCACCAGACACTATTTTAATGCATATGTGAACATTTTATCACTTTTTATAGTTACATTCTCTTGACTCTAAATACATAAAAAACTTTTAACGTTAAATTTTTTCTTATATACATTTATTCAAGTTTACACAACAAATATTTTTCAATTCAAATTTTTTCCTTACTACATACTATGTCACTTTCAGCTTTTTAATTAAAACCAGTGACAATTTTCTTCAGACAATCTATTTTTCTCTGTCCTATTAAATTTCAATGTTAGAGTGATTTGGCATCTGAGTTTGAAAACTGAATTGAAATTTTTTCAAAAAGAAGAACTCAATTTTTTTACATTCACATCCTCCATATTCAAGGACTTAATTTCTTTGCTAACAATTTTGTCACCACACCAACATCAAATTGAATGGTTCATCTTAAGTTATGTGGATGAAGGAATCATATTTATATAGTGTTTATTTTCTAATTATAATAATTTTTTTATTATATTAACTGCACTTAACAACACCATTCAGAATTTTTTATTTCAAATTAGAAAAATTAACCAATCAGGATTGCAAAAAATTTGTTTACATTCATTCTTTCTTTAATTATGATCTTTTTCAACGTTAATGTTGTTATTTTAATGAAGTTATTTATACTCGAAAGATGATTGTGACCTATAGTTGCAATGCAACTACTGTATCACATAGGCCAGAGAATATCACTTATTTGTTACTGTCCAATCTATATATAGAATTTCAATAAATCTTGTTGTGTATGGTTTTGGAAAGTTATTTTTTGACTGCTAGTTAGTAGCTGAGCAGTTTTTTAAATGTTTTGTTGTGATTGTATTGTGGTTGCATAGAATGACTCATTTAGAATTCACTTTCACACGTAATTAATGTATTTAAATGGCAAACTAGCGTATAATTGAGATGATGCCCTGCTGTTGTAATGCTGATTTTATGCAAATTTATGGTAATGTTAGCTTGTTTAAATGCATCTTCAGATCATTTATTATGCTGTTGTAGTTTAGAGGATTGTAAATAATAAAATGTTGATGTGATGTTAATGATGATGAAATAAGATCCTACATATGGTAAGGGTTGTTGAGCCTAAACATTATATCTGTACTGTACTGCTTGAAAATATCTCTGATTAGCTTGTTTAGCTTGGTTCTAATTAATTTAGTGGTTATTTTTTTAATAACCCAGTACACCAGATGATAATTTAATAGTAACTGAACAGGATAATAATCATTGATAGTTGTATTGAAGTTGTATTAATGTTTATATTTATATTATAATTAGTTTGGTTTCCTCATTTAGGTACACTCGTTCATTGTCTGTCTCAATTTAGCAATTTAGCATATATTGATTGTGGCTTACTCTCAAAATCGAATGGCGTGCGTGATGCGTTATTATTATCATCATCATCAAATCACATGGATGTGTGTGTATCTCACCAATTTTTATTCAATTTATGTACAATGTTCATGAGATCACAGGATTAACATACAATGAACAGGGGTGTGAAAGTGGTAATTTCTCTCTCTCTCTCTCTCTCTCTCTCTCTCTCTCTCTCTCTCTCTCTCTCTCTCTCTCTCTCTCTCTCTCTCTCTCTCTATCCCTCTTTCTCTTGACTGTCTGTCTGTCTATATCTATTTATTCATCTATCTTTATTGCTTATTACTATTGTGGAGTATTATAAATTATTACATCTGTTACTAAAAAGAAAAGTTGATATTTAAACTTGCTAACAACATACATCAATAAGACACACACTATGTACTATTAATTGGTTATTTTAGCTCTATTATTGAGCAACCAGATAGATGAAGAAACATTTTTTCTATACAGTCCAATCAACATCTTGAATTATTTTGCAATTTGCCTTTTGCGTGTTCTCTATGCCTATGTTTATTGAGTTGCTTTAAAAAATCAACACTGTTGAATGATTTGTTTACTATGCAACAAATTCTGAATACATTTTTTTCATTTTGGCCTGCTGTGTTTGTGATATTTTCAGCAAAGACTATATTAAAAATGAATTTCAATTTTAATTAAATTTATTTAATTTACTAATTAATTCAATTTGACTTGGTTTAATTGGTTATTAGTGCCGATTAAACTTTTTATTGAAAATATAAATATGATAAAGTTCTTGCCAACTGAATTATTTATGTTAAGAAAACATCTGCGCACAGGTTGTTGGAGCCATAAGCAATGGAGCAGCTCTTACCTTCGATTACCTCCTTCTCATATTTCTTGCTAGGTATTTTACACTGTCCATTAATTAATTTTCATCTAGCTTTTGATTATATCCTATTAATATTAGAATGAAAAGTTAAGATAATGAAAAAATATGACCAAGAATTCTAGATAATAAACCATTTTGTCACGTCATACGTGAGATAACTGATCTCTGCAACTAAGTTTTTGATTTTTTTAATTACGCCTGTTAATTTTGTTTCCACTTTTTTTAATAATTGATATTGTTATTCAGTTCAGTCATTAAATTATTTGCTAGGTCAACTTTAGATTGTAGTAGATAATGAATATTCAAGACTTCTAGATCTAGTGAGTGAACCTGATTAATTATAATTTGTACTGCAGCATGATAGCAGGATTTGGCCTTGCTGAGAACAGTTCAGTTGTGTTGGTGGCCAGTATGCTCATATCTCCACTCATGGTAATTAATTAATTTATTCTTTAATTTCTTTTGCTGTAATTCTTTAATTTTACATTAGAAATGAATTTTCATTCGGTCCAGTGATGGATGCAGCGTAGCTGATGTAGATAGATTTATTTTATCTAAAAATTTTATTGTTTTCATTGTGAGATTTTGTTAACTTGTTGCCAATAGAAGCCTCTAACAAAATTGAAAATCCGTTAGTTATATATTATGGTGACTTACTGCTTCTTGAAACCAGCATTCATTTATTAATAGATAATCTACAGAGTTACCTCACGTCACCGTTCATAAGCAACAAGTTACGCAAAAATCTTTCGAAGGATTGACTTGGTTGTACTTTTAATAACTGAGCAAGATGGCGTGCATGATGATTCAACCTAACATGTATGTGGTAGCCACTATTGTTTCAGACTTTAAATTGGATTGTTAAAAATCTCTGCTAAGTAAAATTTGTTTGTTAGAAGAATCTTACTTCTTAACATTTATAATCTTATTTATTGATATCCCAAACTTATTTCACATGATGCTTCAACCAAATAATGCTTATATTTGTTCACCATAACAACATGTTTTTCTATGTTGATCATGTTAGCATACTTGAGCTATCATGTTTCAAAAAGTTAAATAATATCTAGGTACTGTTCAAAACAACTTTGAAAAGAGCCAAAACTTATTTTCAGACATACATGATAGGATAGCGTTTGTTAGGAGAAACGACAAATACTCGTTATCGTACAGTTTTCGTTCATTATGTTCCTTATGTTTTGAAACTTGTAATTGATTTCTCTGCGTGCATTGCGTTGTCTGGTTTGTAATTTTCTATAATGATGTGGTTTAGAAAGTCACACAGTCTTACAACATGCGTTTGTTAAGATTCTTATCTCAGCATATACATGAACGAAGGTGTTACTGATTAAAAACAAAAATTTTTAATTTTGCTCTTAATGTCTAATTAACTACCTTTATATTTTATTTGGACGTTTTCTCTTATTCCATTTTTGTTTTTCCTTAATATCCTTCAATTGGTTGGTTGATTGATTGACTTATTGATTGACTTATTGATCGGCTGATTGAAAATTTTATTCTGAAAAAAAATTTTGACCTCAATTAGTTTAAAATGAAAAAAAAACAATTTTAAATCCGAAAAGTGTGGTGTTTTCGTTAGAGGTGGCGCTAATTAACGACGACCACCACCAACAACATTCAGGTTAATGATTACTGCATGTTTGCGTTTATGACTGTTTTGGTTGCTTACATGTGAACCACGTACGAACCTGTCAATGCGAAAAACGTAGAACGTAACGTAGCGGAGTTACAATCCCTGCTTACTTTTGCCGCGGCGGCCAATGTATGTTAATCTTCGCTTGTCAGCAAATAATAAATCTTTATGTCGCCTTCTATTTATAACTCACGCTCCAATGAGTTCTTCTAACGTGTGCTATAATTATCTTTCATGTGCAGTGCCTGAGTCATGATTATGATTGCTATGATTTCATCTTTATTATATGGTGTTATTCTATATTGCTCAATGGAAATAAGATGGAAAAGCCTGTTTGTCCCACTCAGTTTTAAAACTTAAGGTGACTTGATTGATTCCATATCTTTATAACCACAGAAGGCTAGGCACAGGCGTGGCTATTTTTTTTCATTCGGAACTTTTTGATATAATATATTTATTAACAACTCTTTTACGCCTATTTTTCTATTGCATTTTTTCGTAGTGGATGAAGTAAAACATTATATAGGTATTGCAAATTATTTTTTGATGGTTGTAAATCTCAATTCCGAATTCTAGTGAAGCGTCGTTCAGTTTTGGTGGTGTTCAAGTGGTCGTTGTTTTCATTGATGGCGACGCGCAATACTTATTGTTAAAGGACTTGGTTGCTCCACCATGGACTTGATTGATTGTTAGCTGGTTCATGTATGTACAGTTTTAAAAGGAAAATTAAACCTGAGTATTTTTTTTACAGAAGACTGCGCAATTAGTTGTAAATTTTTCTAGCAAAAATTATTGTAAACGTATTTTTGCTATTTTGAATCGGTAAAAATTCATCTTTACAATAGAAATCATTTTTAATTTTTCAACTCTTCCTTCCACCAGGGCCCAATCATTGGCTTTACATTTGGGATTGTGATAAAGAATCGTGAACTGTGCAAGTTGTCAGTGAGGACAGAATTGATCGGACTATCCATCTGCCTTGGATATGGTTGGTTCATTTTATTTCTTATTTGTATCTTTTAGTGCAACAATGAAATTTCATCATATTATTTAGCTAGAGGTAGTTCAATATGAAACATAATATACTGCTTGTTTGTGGTTTGTTTAACAATACTTTTATTGTTCAACAAACTGCGTTTAATTATACAGGATTGCCAGAAAGCTAATTTAATATGGCATTCGATTATGTTTTTAAACGGTTTTTATTTTTTCTAAAAAGAATTGCGATTTTTTTTCTGCCATATTTTGATTAGTTTATGATGTTTGGATTCAAAAAAGTTGGTCAGCAATGGTCGTCAGTTCTTTTTCAACTAGCTTCTTATTTTCATTTTGATGATGTTCAGTCAGCCTGAGAGAAACAACATTTCACTGCTCCTCCCCACATCATGCACTTGTACGATAATGAATAGAGGCAGGCAGGCGAGCTGGCAATGCCTTGCACTATCTTACTAACGTCATTCACACCTAAACAGCTGATACAACAACAACAACACACGTTTAGACGACATTTTCCCCGAGATCGGGGGTTGCCGTTTAGCTACCTATGATGAAACCGAAATACCCCCCGACGCCATTCCATCATAAGTAATTTATTTGGCTAATTTTTACGCAGGACGCCCTTCCTTACGCAACCACAGTTATAAGCGGTGGGCCTAGCCTTTGATGATCCAACATCACTCACAAGGCAGTGAGGGTCAGTTTAATGTCATAACCAGGACAACTAATAAACAGCTGATAAATAATATTTATTCTAAACTACTTTGCTGATGTCTTAAACTAAATAATCTCTTTCTGCATTAAATAGCCTACTTGACGTATTTACACGAACTTTAATGGTATGATCATGTTCTCACAGCATTACAAAGAGATACATAACCTATTGTATTGTTGAATGTTCTTAGTCACAAAAAATATTTTTAGAAATTTTAAAAGCTATAGTTAAATTTAATAAAAAAACATTGAAAACTATTCAACAAATTAAATATTATGGAAATGTTATTTTGTCCAAAACTGTTGTTAAAAATTCCAGCGTAATTTTTTTAATTAATTCAACGAAAAAGAGTGACAGTAGTGGTAACAGTTTGCATCGTTTTGATCGTTTGTGCAGGTTTCCTGTTTGGCCTGATAACGGGGGCGATAGATAACACAAGTGCTCGGTATGGGGCTGATGGTGTCTGGCCAACGTATGAGATGCAAGCGAGGTACATGCATTGCTCAGTCACATGCAACTGTCACTTTTAGTTACTTCTCAGTGTTATATTCACTATTTATGAAATCTTCACCTCAATTGAAATGTTTTAAATATTTTTAATCATTGTTGACTTATTTCAATATCTACATATCTACTTATCTAACTAATCGAAAAGGTTTTTTATGGCACTGTCACAACAGTGTTTCTTAACTGTTGATTTATACACTGTTAAAAATGAACTTCACCGAAACTGCAGAGGTATGTTGAGAAGTTTGTGGGTTGGCATTTTCATTGCCCTACCCTCTGGGGCCGGTGTGGCCCTGGCCATCCTGGGAGGAAACACAGGGTCCTTGGTGGGGGTTGCCATATCCGCTTCGTTGCTGCCTCCACTTGTTAATGCTGTAATTGGTTGATTACTTTTTCTTAAAGTTAATGTAATGGTTACTAAATTATATTTTTTAGTGAACTTTATTTACATATCAGTAAACATTTTATTGTTCGGATTATTATATCAATTATATATATATTATATATATATATAATTATTACAATATTCTATAAATTCTACCGAATGTTTGGCGTTAATATGTTTGTAGTTCGTTTTTTCGATTTTTCTCACTAAAGTTTTTTGGTGAACGTTTAGTTTATTAAAATTCAAAATAAACTTATTTATCGAATTCATGCTGCAAATAAGGCCATATTTCGATTCGGAATGAATCATCATCAGTGCTCCTTGCTGTATATATAGGGATATATTGACTTTGTCAAGATGAACTTTGACGTTGTAAAAATTAACTTTGGTGTTGTAAAATTGAACTTTGATGCGAATTAGGTGTCAGGTTTCTTAATTGGCTGGTCATCTTCTTTGGTCTCCTTTTCTTCATCGATAGCATCATATTCTTCTTTGTCACTATTTACGATGCTAGTTTTTATTACTTCTTTGTTTTCGTTGTTGGTTAAGCGCCGGGTTGGAAGTGAGGTTGTCATTTTTTGTTGTATATTTATTTTTGGTTTATTGATGTCAATTAGGACTGCTTCTGCAATTTTAAGATGCGTGTAGTTGCTATTCTGGTATATTACTTTGGTGTTGCTGTCGAGGATTTCACGGCTAATTGTGATTGAGTGTGTTGAGTCCAAATGAGATTTGATAGCACCACTCTGTTTATGCATCGTAAGCCTTCTAGTCAGTGAGGTAGTAGTAATCCCGATATATGAGTCATGTTGACGTGCACAGCCGTCAAAGGGGCAATTAAATTCATATATTACGTGATTACGCTTTAACTCAGAGTTATCTCTAGGACTGCAGTTGTTTTTTAGTATTAGGTGAGACGTCTTTTTATTGTTGTAATAAATTCGGAGTTTAACTTTACTATTTGGGTTGGTTGGTGTGACATTTTTATTGATGATATGTTTAAGAATAGCTTCATCTACCTTGTATGCTGTTGACATGTGATTTCTGTAATACAAAATGATGTCGTTATCTTGATTGTTGGTACTAGGAAGGTTATTGCTGTGTAGTAATTTGCCTTAAACAATCTTTTCAATAGAGTAAGTCTTATATCTATCTATATCCATTGTCTATATCCATTGTTTACAAACAATGAATATAAGACTTACTCTATTGACAACCTCACTTCCAACCCGGCGCTTAACCAACAACGAAAACAAAGAAGTAATAAAAACTAGTATCGTAAATAGTGACAAAGAAGAATATGATGCTATCGATGAAGAAAAGGAGACCAAAGAAGATGACCAGCCAATTAAGAAACCTGACACCTAATTCGCATCAAAGTTCAATTTTACAACACCAAAGTTAATTTTTACAACGTCAAAGTTCATCTTGACAAAGTCAATATATCCCTATATATACAGCAAGGAGCACTGATGATGATTCATTCCGAATCGAAATATGGCCTTATTTGCAGCATGAATTCGAAAAATAAGTTTATTTTGAATTTTAATAAACTAAACGTTCACCAAAAAACTTTAGTGAGAAAAATCGAAAAAACGAACTACAAACATATTAACGCCAAACATTCGGTAGAATTTATAGAATATTGTAAAAATTATGGTCTATTACCAACATATATTATTATAGAAAAACTTTTAATTAATTATTAATTAATTAGTTAATTAATTGATCTGATTCCAGGGCATGTTGTGGGGACTTGCGTGTGTATCAGCACTTAATCCACCTCCTCTCAAAGTTTTTAATGTGCAACAATTTTTTTTTTACAAATATTTATAATTATTTCTCCCCTTCAAATTTGTAAATTTGACCTCACGAAATTTCATTCTACATTGTAAATCATAGAAGTATAGCTTTGAAATCCCATTAACTCAAGCTTTATTGGAACTGTCAACAATCACGCACTCACACGCGAACAATCCAGGTAACTGGTAACCTTAGTGACTACCTCGCCGACTTGAAGCCACCGGACTGCGTTGGACTTCTGGGTAACTCGTACAAGATGGTTTATTCGTGCACGATGTCTTACGAGGCAGCCATCCTGGGGTCAGTCAGTCTCCTGTTGGCCATCCTGAACATCATCTGCATCTTTTTCATGGGAGTCATTGTTATGAAGGTTGTTTGTTGTTGTTGTTGTTGGTGGTGTTGGTGTTGTTGCTACCGCTGTTGTTGTCGTTAAAGGTTGTTCATTGTTGTTGTTATTATCGGAGAATTTATATGGCGTCGATTGTTTTTTTGTTTTTGCAGTTGATTCTGTTGTTTCTCAGCTGTGTTGTAATACGTGTAGGGTTAAGATAAAAATAAAGGATGTTGTGTTTATTATTGTGGTGGTGTTGAAATTTTATATACATACATACATGCCAGAGTCTATGTTGGATACGTTTATTTTTGTCATCTCTGCCATAGTTTCTCCGTTTTTTGTTGTTTGCTGGTTAAGACAGTTATTATGAATAGATTGAATCAAAAGCTGTTCTCGTTATTTATCATTATGCGATCCCAAATATTATCATCGCTCCATTAATTTATTTATTTCTTAGCTAATTAAATAATTGATTTATGAATGAATAGATGGATGAATGAATGAATGAATTAATTAATTATTCTATGAATGAATGAATGAATGAATGAAAGAATGAATGGATGAATGAATGAATGATTGAATGAATGAATGAATGATTGAACGAATGAATAAATAAATGATTGAAGGACCGAACGAATTAATTAGTTAATTAATTAATTTATCAAGGTCAAAGAGTTATCTCCGTTGCCAGGAGCTACCAAGGGATCTGTAACATTCTGGAAGAAAGATGTTCCAGTATGCCACTTTTTAAAATTAATAATGATAATAACAATATTGTTATTATTTTGTTTGTTTATTTGTATGTATCACATTTAATTTTACTGTTATGTTATTTTTATGGCAAATAATTTGTTATTAAACATACATTTTTTATGTGTGAATTATATTTCATGATCACGTGATAATTTAGTTAACTATTATTTACATAGCAACGATTGTATAGTTGTTGCCACTGTAATACTTATTCAAAATGGTTTTTACTCGCATGCCTCATTCATTTGCATACGGCGCCATCACGCCAAGTTTTTTTCTATGTAAATATAAAAATTTTTTTTTAAACCTAAATCCTACATGCACATATTAAATAGCGTTTTTATTTTAACAATTATAATGGTAATCAATGGTAAAATTAACACCTGCCTACCGTTTCAAATGAAAATAAAACTACCAGATAATGAGGCACACGTATGAAACAATTAAAGGACCAAAAAGTTTGGACATGCGGAGGATGGCTAAGGAGTTGGTTAAAGAGATTAAGGTAGTTCTCATTAAAGGAGTTCATTTACGTCACGTTATTACGTCATGTTTGTATCATTTTGTGTTGTTTGTCGTTTGGTGAATGTTATTGTCTGTGCGCTGTACTGTCGTATCTATATAATTTTTCATCTGTTGTTGTTGTTGCGCGTAATAATTCGTAATAATTGGAAATAGATCTAAGATGCTGCTTAGTTGATAAAAATTAGCGTAATTCGTATCCACGTTTTTTAGATAATTATTTTTCTTATTTATGTGTTTAAAAATTTAATTATTTCTAGCAAAAAAATCCTGTTGGCTGGGAGAACATTGTGAAGGTTCGTTGGACATTTTTAAACATTTCATTTTGTTTCTGTTCTTTTAATTTCATAATTTTACATCCTCATTGTTTATATTTATGTTTTGTAATGTTTAATTATTTAATTGAAAAAGTTGTTGAATTTAATTGCACGAACATTTTGTAACAGGATGTAAAAGATGATCCTCTGTGGAAAGATTTAAACACTGGGTTGGAGCCCAAGCAGGTTTTTGCAGACTTTTTTTGAAAGCATTATTACTAGGTTTTTGTTGTTGGTGTTCATGGGCTGGTCCGATCATCAAATTTATTCATTTTATATCTACATTAACATAAATGCAATCTTGGTTATTCAGCTCCTTATTTGGTAACTTACTTGCTTCCTGATGTTGCACTCGTCTAAAAATGCTGCTAATCTTGGTTGATTTGTTTTCGATTCCGCCAACTATAATAAGTTGTTCCAGTGTCTTAATTTGTCTCGCCACAGTAGTTATTTAATGAAACATTATTTCTTTTCACTGCCCTACCTACCGTGTCTCTAGTAGTGCACATCCATTTGTTTATATTCTATCACTTATCTTCTTCTTAACATTTAAAATTTGTCAGTTCTGTGCAATCTAAAGTATCTTAGCAATACATTGTATGACGTTTAATTATTCGAACGACATTTGAAGGACATTCTGCAGGTAATGACGGAGAAGAACAACGATGACGACGACTTTGACCAGCCGAAGAGCAACCACTTCAATCGCCAGCCAGGTGGAGCGTTCAGTTCTGAACACACTGAAATTCTATTGAACGATCAACGTTATCAGACCATCAGTGGAAACATTGCTCCCTTCCGTGCGCACATTCGAGATCTGTTCAGCAACCAAGATGAGGAGAGTGCCGGCGACTTGTCTCAGTCAGCAAGCGTCGCCACTACTCCCACTGCTTCAAAAATGCCAATCGGAGGTGGTGGTTGCATCGTACGCATGCGTAGAACGCATCACAAAGGCAGACCCAAGTCTGCAAACGATCGAAAATATTCCGATTCTCAAGCATTATCCTACCACAACAACAACGTTTCGTTCGTTAATGGCAGCAGCACTGCACAGCAACAAGCCGCTGAAGACGAGGAGGAGGAGGACGAGGTGTTGATGCTCAACTACAACAAGATTGCCCACTTCAAGAAAAATGCCTACAATAAGAAGAGGGCTACCAGCATTGCATATGGAGCTTCGGAGAGAAGTCCCGGGTTAGTTAGTTAGTTGAGTGATCATGTGTAATTTGCTCGAATGATTGATATTGAAGTTAGGGTGAGATTGTTGATCATCGTTTTGTATGTTTAGCTTTCGAGTGAATTTATTCGCGCGCGTGCTACTTGATGATGACATCATTTGTATAATCATTGGACAGCAGCACCCACGCAGCTTCGTGCACGCCGTCAAGGATGCAGCAAGTTCGGATCAGGATTGACGAGGGGCAGAACCAAACATTCAACAGAGACAACTCCATGACCTGAATGAAGACCGTTGCCATTCATTCAAAGACCTCATGAATATATATTTATTATTATTTATGCGTTTAATTAATTTTAACGTGGGTGTTGTTTCATTTCAGATGTTTAATGTTTCAATATTTTTACATACAGTAACATCTAAAATTAATAATGATGATGAAAGATTGATGATGTTTTTTATTTCTTATTTATTGATGCTTCACTAACAATTTCAGCGTTTGCGGCAAACAATTTGATCAATCAACTCACCCTTTTCTAAAATTCTTAAAAATTTTTGAGACGAGCATGTTCTTTTTGTTTGAAATTCAACCAATTTATTTCATTTTCTGATGACTATTCATTTATTTCAAAATAATTTTTATATGACTGTTGAATAACTGGCATCTGTACTGGCTGATGATTAACGCTGGCATTCATCGTGGCTTCACAGTTGCACGCACTCCTCTGTATATAGTTTCATTTAAAAATTTCTCACCTAATCAATTACATGACTCATTTTTAAGAAACATTTTGTTCTCATTTCATCATAAGTTTAGCGTATTTTAACAGGCATGACATGTTGAACAAACCCAATTTCATCGTTTTTTTTATTGCTGCTTCTTCAAACATTTTTTTATTTTTCTAGATGTGTGAGGCAAGTCCCAGATATGTTATGACATTGTTTTTTTTTATAAAAGTAATCAACAAGTTGATTTTGATTCGTATTTATCTATTTTGTGGTTGAAATCTGGGGGCCTATAATAATATGAGAACAATTTAGTTGCCGTTGTTAATATTCCTTGCTTAAAATCAGTTTTTTAAATATTATGTGTTATATTTGTGCCTTAGGTACGATTATTATCAAGTTATATACTCATTATTCATTCGTTAATTTGTCCTTAAGGGTAGTTATGCTTATTTATTCTTGTCAAATTGAACTTTTTGAACTTTTTGAACTTTAAAACAGTGTTTATACATTTTCATGTTATACTTTTTTTAATGCATTTGTTGTTTGTTGGTGATTTCATTTGATTTTGAGACGTTGATGTATTAATTTGAGAGTTACTGATGAGATGGAAAGTGCTGGGATGCTTCGTAAGAAAAATTACTTTAGGACGTTAATTAATTTGTTGGATGTGTTGACGGATTGTCGGATGAGTTCTGGTATGTTATAATATTTTTGGCTATTTACCGTTTCATTTTAACATTATTTTTTGCATTTCGTCTGTCCAATGTTCATGTTAATATATATTTTGATGATCGTTATATTGAGAGAGAGAGAGAGAAAGAGAGAAAGAGAGAGAGAGAGAGAGAGAGAGAGAGAGAGAGAGAGAGAGAACATTAACCTTTGTATATTATTCATCATCACCTTATGTATTTTGCTTCGAACACCTTATAATATGTGATTCATTAAATTATGCAGGATTTAATCGTAGGTACACTGAAATTTTGTATTGTATGATGTCTCTATACTCAATTCTACTCAATTCTTAGTATTTTCTGGCTTGCTGAAGATTATACATTTTATAAAAAAGAATAAATATATATTTATGAATAAATATGAAAATCACGTTAAAAATCTTACGTTCCATTTGTTCCGTCGTTGATTTCTAGACATCACATTTTCTAGATGAATGGTGTTTTGTTGTGTTTAGGTCGAGATGGAAATTCATTTCCTTTGTTGTTGACTGGTGTGATTATTATCTATCTATCTATCTAAAGATGATGATGTGAAAGGATTTCTCAACGCCTTCTAACATTGTTTAACTAGGTTCCATGTGTTTGTGCTGGTTTGATCTGTGTGTTTGTTGTATAGTTTAGTATGTGCGATTGTTGTATGTTGTATGTGTGGTTGTTGTGTGTATGTTTTTTGGGTTTTGTATGTATGTATGGTTGTTGTTTGTTTGTTTGTATGTGTGTTTGTTTGGTGTTTTATGCATGTTAGTTGTCTCTTTAGTGTATGCTTGTCGAATGAATGATGTAACTGTGCATATGTGTGCTTTTTTGTAACTGTAAAATACATCTGATATATGTTAACATTTCATTAGCTTTCTGTTAGAGTGATGACTGTCGTAACAGTACAATATTTTCTTACATGAGATTCATCTACTTCAATTTCGTTAGCTATATTTTCATATAAGCACAAGCTTTATATAAACATACATATACATACATACATATTTCTGTTTATATAAACTGTTAGATGTGTTTTGCTACGTAGTTCGTGAACTTTTCATGTTAATGCCTTTTCAAAGAAAGGAAAGTATAGGAAACTGCGTGCATGCATGCATGCATGTGTGCAGTTCTGCATAAATAAATACTATGGCGCTTTTGTCATGTATATACGTATTGATAAGTATATATATATATATATATATATATATATATATATATATATATATATATATATATATATATATCTGTGTGTGTGTGTGTGTGTGTGTGTGTGTGTGTGTGTGTGTGTGTGTGTGTGTGTGTGTGTGTGTGTAAGAAAGTATGTATAGATGTTTGCGTGAGTTTTTGTATCTGTGTGTACGTACGTGTATATATAATGTGCACGTGTATGTGTGTGTTTGTATGTTTATGTATGCAAATTCCTCGTTTGGTATTTTTCCTGAATGTTTATGTTTTCAGCGCGTACGATGCTTTATTTCACCTTGTGATATCATTGGTATAATTTGCTGCTTTGTTATCTTAGGTATATTATAATAATAATTATTATTATTCATTATTATTTTTATTATTACTACTAATTCATTCTTATTCACATAATTTTTTGATCTACACAACAGCTTAATATAAATGTACGTATATGGTAAATATTACGTGAGGCATGCACATGCATGTATCTGAACACTTGAATACTAGTAGATATATCTAATTAGTCTAGCCAATTATAATTAACTATTTCGTCCATTTTGTTTCTAAATCTATGGGAGAATTTATGTGTTTAATAAGAGATCTGAATATAAACATATAATTGATTTTGTGTGTGTGTTTTGCATCTAATTGTCGTTTTGTTAATATTGTTAGTAAATTTGACTCCAATGAGCTGAGCTATGTTGGTGATGAGAAGGACGACGACGATGATAATGATGGTATCGATGATGACGAGAATGATGATGATGTTATGGATGATGATGAGAATGATTACGATGATGATGATGTTGCTAATGATTAAGATGGCACCGATTATGACGACGACGATGATGATGGTCCTAACGTAGACATTGATCTTTTAATGACTTGAATTGAATTCCTCTAACATTCCTGTGTCATTCTTTAATCAAACATTATGTGTGGTGTTCTTTTCTTCGTTATAAATAGTTAACACACACACACACACACACACACACACACATACATATATATATACACAAAAAAAACTTATAATTGTTGGTTTGTAATATAAGACCACCAAAAAATGAAAGCTGATGGATCGGCTATCACAACGCTAACCGTTCTTTTTTCCATATAAATACTCTTGGGATGATTTTAGTTAATTACAATGTGAGATAGGTCTTTTAACGCTTTTCATACAAAATTAGAAAATACTATTTCCTGTGTTTTTTTTTAATTTTTTTAAAAGTTATCTATCACAATGGTATAATGACAGCAAGCAATATAATTTTTTATATCAACTCCGTAGCTTTTTTGGCATCTTTGATGTAATATTTCTTCAAAACAAGCTTCAAGATAAATTTTCTTTATTATTATCATTATTGTTGTTGTTATTATTATTATTATTGCTGTTGTCGTTGTTTTCTTCTTAGCTGGAAATTTAAGTTCATCTGACAGCAACAGTGGCCACTTGCCAAGTTGGTGTTGAAATTTATTTATATTGCTGTTATTTTATATTATTTATATTGTGGTTATTGCTGTCTTAACTGTGGTTTTCATTTTTGAAACATTTATTAGGCTTGTTATTATAATTTAATTTATGACTCGTTACGTCATTATTTTTATTCTAATGCAATTATCTGCTTGTCCTGTAAACAGTAAAAATGAATGGATGCATTTAAAGCGAACTAATGATGGTTAATACTGTTAACTGTGTTTTCATGGCTTAATAAATATTCATAGAATAATTAAAAAAATCTTTCTTAATAAAACAATTAATGACAAATATTGGTCAATCAAAATTTTTTGTTAGAGACTATCTAACGGACGACTCATTGAGGTAGGGATTGCAGTGTTAGCATTCAAGAACCTATTCAATAAATTTTTTTCGTTTTTGTCAGTTTAAGTTTCTTTCTAGAAAGAATGGGTTGTGTGTGATTTTGAAACGATACCTTAGCACCATTTTTTGACGGCATTACAACTGTCAGTTTCAGTTAAATAAACGTTTTGTGTAGTTTTGTTGACTGAACAAAATTAACGCAAACGCGTCCGCTCACTTGAGTAGAAGAAAACACGTTTATGAAACATTTAAGTAATAACATGAAAATTTTGTTGGTGGTACCTTATTGTTCATCTGAACAAAATCAAGTTTCGTCTTTTTTTTTATTAGCGACGAAATCTATGTGATTCCTCAATTTTGGCTGTGACAGTTGGTTTTTGACAACAAATTGTCACCAGTAATAATTTATTTGTTTGATCGTTCAATTTGTGAACTTTACATGCAAGATAGCAAACGAAAAAACGGGAAATGTAAAAATATTTGGAACTAAGTTAAATAACATTTAATTCTCTATTATTTGAAGAATTTATTTATTTTGGAACTTGCTAATGTTAAAGATGATAAGATAACAATAGGAAAGAATTTCCCCGGGATCAACATATCTTCTACTCATTCGGAACGGAATATATTTATCAGCAATATCACGTGCTGCTGACTGATGTCAATGATCTCGAACGTAAAGTCACATCGCAGAATGATTTTTTTTTTGCAAATTTATGTTCGTCTGTCCCAAATCCAAGGTCACAGTCTTAGATATCAAGAAAGGCAACACAGGAACAAAAACAGTAAAATTTATTCAATGGATAATTTTTTTTCCATAAAATTATTTATAAATCAGATCTAGTAGCATAAGTTATTATATGTACTATGTTGTTTTTATTTCTTTTTTGTATTAATTAGTAATGTTTACCTTGATGCATACTTTATTTTGAAGAATTTACTTGCTTCGTTAGAAATTTGGCCTGTAGTTGTGTTTACTGTTTAATTGCTTATTTGTGTGCTTGCCTGCGTGTGAAAGCATGCTTTCACATCTCTCGCTAACAATGTTTTTCTTCCTTTAAAATCCAATGTAAGTTGGTTGGGCTTGAAAATGATGCTACAAAAACTTTCCTATTATTCCTTTCGTTCACGTTAAAAAAGTTCTGAACAATAATATCCTTATTAATCGGTCTCTAGATTTTACTAGAATTAGAATATCGATGAGTAACAAAGTTATTTCACTCTAAACTGTTCAACCATTAAAAGTATTTCCGAAATTTTAGGAATTTATTTACGCTTATAAAAACAAGCCAGCATGAGCTGTCCATATAAAATAATACATGTATATATACATAAATATATATATATATATATATATATATATATATGTATTTTATAAATTATATATATATATAAACAAACAATCAACAAAGTAGAGACGCAGTATATATATATATATATATATATATATATATATATATATATGTGTGTGTGTGTGTGTGTGTGTGTGTGTGTGTGTGTGTGTGTGTGTGTGTGTATTGTGTAATGTATAATAAAATGATTCATACCAGCGGAACATCTCTATACCATTTAACATAAATTAACATTTCCAAACTGACGTCATTTGTAGATGTATATATATATATATATATATATATGTATAACATAATTATAATTATACTATAATTATATATATATATAATATAGACAAACATTTATAAATTTCTAGATAAATGCTTACACATGTGTATGTGATTAAATAAATAATGTGTATAAGTATTGTTTATACACCCTTTGTATGTGAATAAAACTTCAGTGCAAGATAAAATGCAGCGTTTATATAAATATATGCATATATGCATGTTCGGCCATATATAGTAGGTTACTATTGTATAATCTTTATAAGTTCTACTGTTACAACAGCATTCTGTCTAACTTTGTTATTATTTGCGGCTCGATTCTTTGTTCGAACTGAAAAAACAGACATTCATTTTAATTAAATTTTTAAATTATTCAAAAAAGATTGAACAATTTTATAGATAGTTTCAAATATTGTTTTGTTGGATATAAATTACCAATTCAGGCTCTAATCTTCCAGTTGCATACAATCATCTCGACAGTGTGATTAACAACAGTGAGTCCAATGATATTCTTCATTTCGTTTAATAATTTTTCAACGTTTTCCTTATGTTTAACTCATTATGTTTATCTAACCTTTATGTTTAACAAATCCTAATTAAATGGCTAATGGCTTGTTTTGCTAGTAGAAGCCCATATTGATGAAAAAAGATATTGAATTATGTCATATTCAAATTTTTTTGTCACACTGTGGTGTAAAACTTACAAAATTTTAAACACGAGTTTGATTTGCCCGACCAACAAATGCCCTTCGACGTTTGTTAGTTGGTTTTTAATTTCTATAAATAACTATTAAGGAGGAAATTATTTAGTAACTAATAAAATTCTTTAATACTTTTTCTTATTTTTTTAACGTTAACCAAAACTATGGTATAACGTGTTATATAGTATTCCGTTTCTAAACAAATTTCCATTAAATTTCAAGTTTTAAACTTTTTTTGGCTGTGGAACGTGGGCCCTGATGTATTTTTTTAAATTCCTCAATTAGTTACAAATTTATTTTTTTAAAAATTTCAGTACTTTTTCTCGTGTTAAAGAAATTTAAAAAAATGTTAAATAAATATAAATTGATGAAATAAACATTACTGTGTGCGATGATATTAATTAGCATATTTTTAAAACCAACATTGTTTGAGCGAACACGTTTTCACGAACGAACGAACGAACGAACGAACGAACGAACGAACGAACAAATCATTATGAAACAACATTTGCCAAATTGCACACAAAGTCTATACAAAGGCACAATGATCATTTACTTAGAATTGCTAACACTCATAAAAGTGCGAATAATCAAACAATGATGAAAACAGTCAGACAACAACCAAACAACAATAAAAACAATAATATGAATAATCGAAAAGCAACAGTCATGATCCTCTTACAAGTACAAAAATAATTACAAAGTACAAAAAGGTCTGATGTTAAAGTTCCAAGTAGGTACAAATGTATCATCTTAGTAGTGAAGTAGTACTGTACAACAGCTTTAAGAGGCGTTTACATTAAAATTTTATTTTATTTGCAAGAATTGCTTCATCACCATAAACTGATGAAGGCATTTTAATAATTTAAGTTTCCAACAGAGAATGCAGTTTAATTGTTCAACAAAACTTTCAATACAAATTCTTATTTAGGTTGCACTTGACTAAATATTTCAAGAATATGTAGGTACCACAATGAAATGTGTTGAAAGGCGTTGTTAAGATATTAGTTATTAAGTTTGCGGTTACATACAATCATCTGAAATCTGAATGCCCACACAGTGCTATAACAACATGCAACATCGATAGCCTCCAACAACGCAACATAACAATGATAACAAACTATCATAAGAAACATATTGAAATTATACAAAGATTATTAATTACAAATTTAACATTTACATAGCAGTAGAGGGTGATCCAAGAAGATCTTTGAAGAAACAAGTTTAGAGTGCGGTTAGAAAATGCAAATTAGTCTTCTTGCAGTGCACTGCGGTACATAGAATAGTAAAGGAAACAACAGAACATCACAGTGAATGGAGCCTACTTGCTATTCTAATATTAGCTTTCTAACTTTTTATCCGCATTGCGTTGAAGCTGAGTGGAACTGAGTTCGTGTGCGTGGCACTAGGGGAGAACGAAGGGGAGAAGGGCGTGTGCATGAATGAACGAGTGAATGGGTGATTGCATGAATGAATAAATGAATGAATAAATAAATGCACAGATCAATGATAAACGAAGTGATGAATGAACGTAGGAATAAACGAATGAATGATGGAATGATCAAATGAATGAATGAATGAACAAATGAATGAATGAATAATAAATTATTGACTGATTGAATAATTGAAATTAAAAATTGAAGCACGAATGAGTGATTAAATAAAATAAGTAATTTAAAAAATACATCAATTTTTCAGTTAACTATTGGAGAAATAAGATTTATGGTCAGATGACCCAATAAAAGTAGTAATAAGTACAGATTGTTGTTATTATTACGATAATATAGGATAGATTCGTTGAACTTCAAAAAGATGAATTAATAATCGTGTTGTGTTGTGGATTGGTTTGTAACTTTATTAAAAAGGATTATTTATTTATCTATAGCAAGGGTGGGATAACTTTTTGCTGTAAGGGCCGCATTAAGAACTATTTTACATTTGAAGGGCCGATATGTACTTTTTCGAATCGGGGGAGAATTTTTTTAAAATTTGTGGTTCTCTTTTGTTTTTTTTTGTTCATAATGTCTGCTGGCGACCTTTTTTGACGAAATGTCTGTAATAAACACGTTCACAGGCCATTTTTCTACTTAAAATTGACGAGGCAATCTGGAAAACAATCTGGATGAGAGTTGATAAATGTTTCCAGGACGGATTTCGTCAATAATTGTTTTTGAAAGGCCCGACAGAGTTTCCGTGTCCTTATTATTTTTAAAATTAATCACGCACTTGTAATTTTTGACTTCAAAACTCATTTGAATTTCATTTTTTAAACCACTGCATGTAGTAGTCCTTCATCCAGGTTTCTGTAATCAGTAACCTATGTGTGTCTGCAATAAGGGAAGACGATTGGGAACCGCCTCAGAAACAACTTCGTTTATTAAATGTCGTTGTCATTTTCGTCGAAATTGAGCAATTTTACAAATTTCAGCTTAATCGGAAAATGTGAAGGAAGTTATCAAAAAGCCATTAAAAGATTTATTAAAAACAAAAACATACAAACATGTGAAGTTAATGTAAGCCTGGCATAAATACTTGAAAATATTTCAATTGTTTAAGAGGATTTAAATTGTTAAATTGCTGGTTTTTATAAGAACGTGCCTCACCTTCAACTGCAGTTTAAAAGCGTTCCGTGGTTATCAAATAAGATGATCAAGAATGAATGGTGCCTATATTTCAAACAATTCGTTGACTCTTCATCAAACATTTCATCAAACATTCTAGAAAGTATAATTTTTCAAAGTGAAGATTATCTTGTTACGATGAGTTGTTATGAGAGGTCCGACATACTCCTTCTAGCCAAACTAACCAATCAGTCAACAAATCAGCAAGTTAACTAAATACCATATCACAAAAATCTCTACAATCATTAAATGTATTTCAATCATTTTTATCAACATCGTCATTTTCAACGTTTTCGTCACCGTTGTCGTAATCATTGTAATCATTTTGCAACGTCAAATAACCAAATTATGAATAACCTACCACATTTTAGCCTACACACGATGTCATTATGAGGACTACTCAAAATTTTCAGTAATTGTATATGACGACATTTAACTTAGACCACTTTTAAAACAGCTTATCTACATCTATTCATTCATTACATTCATTTTTCATTCGTTCGATCATTCACTTTGTTTTAGTATACTTTATTACAATTTTATAACTAGTTTGAAAAGTAAACGCATTTCTGAAAAGTTAACACAGTCCGGCAGAGAGACAGAGGGACAGACGACATATACACAAAAATATATTTAAAATAAAAACAACGTAGGGGTGCAAAAAAGAAAAGTTATATGCTAATGACGTTTAATAGTAATGTCTCACTCATATCGAGCTCCAGATATTCATGTAGCGTCGATCATATATCCCATTATAATGGGTCGATACAATCCATTCCGGTCAATCCTTAGGCAATGAGTCAATGGGTTCGAAGAGAATATAGTCAATGTTGTTGGCATCGTTCTGGCGTTGTGAAATTATAACTTCAATTGCATTGCCTTCCTGGTCTTGTGAAGTTTCAGCTTCAACTGTAGCACTCTAATCTTCGCTGAACCACTGACCTTCAGTCAGTTCTATGTTATCGGCACCCAGGCTGATGTTCCTCTTCTCGTCTTCATCTTTCTGGTGGTCGTAATCATCCAAATTTTTGTTGACCTTGTTCTGAACGACGTTTTTATTTTTCAAAGTGGTTTTAATGACGTCAATTTGCTCTAATCTGGATGAGAGCTGATAAAGGTTTCCATGACGGATTTCGTCAATAAGTGTCTTTAAAATGCCTTCATTAAAAAGCCCGCCAGAGTTTCGGTGTCCTTATTATTTTCAAAAGTAATCACACATTTGAAATCTTTGACTTCAAAACTCATTTGAATTTCATTTTTTTAAGTAGTCCTTCATCCAGGTTTCTGTAATCAGAAGGACAGACGAGTGGGAACCGCCTCAGAAACAACTTCGTTTATTAATTGTCGTTGTCATTTTCGTCGAAATTGAGCAATTTTACAAATTTCAGCTTAATCGGAAAATGTGAATGAAGTTATCAAAAAGCCATTAAAAGATTTATTAAAAACAAAAACATACAAACATGTGAAGTTAATGTAAGCCTGGCATAAATACTTGAAAATATTTCAATTGTTTAAGAGGATTTAAATTGTTAAATTGCTGGTTTTTATAAGAACGTGCCTCACCTTCAACTGCAGTTTAAAAGCGTTCCATGGTTAGGTGTTAAAATAATTTGGTGGCCTCTGGTTCTAACCAACAACAGGTGGTTGATATCTCAATTTATAATTATAATAATATTATAAAACTGGTTGTGTTGTGTATCATCTATTTTTATCAAAACCTTCTCCCCCGCGACGCGTTTCTGAGCTTGGCTCTCTTCAGGCGATTTCTTTTGTTTTAATAATACCGTTCCCCAGTTTACAATACTTTTAATTATTATTTAATTTCATTTTCATTTAAAATTACATACAAATAAAATATATAACATTTAATTTTAAAATATTTTTAGTTTACAGTTTTGTTAAAATTCGTTTGATTCTTCATCAAACATTTCATCAAACATTCTAGAAAGTATAATTTTTCAAAGTGAAAATTATCTTGATGATATCATTGTGTGGATAGAATGCATTTGTAAGCATCGGTGAGTTTGTTTTGCAGGTTTCTTAAGTTTATGTACGAACGATGAGTTGTTATGAAAAGTCCGACATACTCCTTTAAGCCGAACTAACGTGCGTGTTGCAGTCAAGTTGACTTGCACCTCTTTGTACACCTTAAATATGAGTGAATGTAATATAAATTCATGTTTCGTACAAAGTTAGTTAGTCCAATAACCGGTAGATTGCGAAGGAAATGATCAACATTTCCATTCAAAGAGTTGACTTACTCTCTATTAGTAGTAGTCTTTTCTTAATAATATTCAACATTTTATTAAAATTTACAATTCATAGTTAACATTCTGAAAATATTGACACCTAGATGAATGTTTAATGTATGAATGATGGTAGATTATGCTAATAATATGGCACTCCGAATCAACAAGTTCGAGCTGCTTAACAAATTCAGTTACTGCCTGTTATATCGAAGTTAGTTTCAACAAGGTTGAGAATAAACAAAAAAACATATATATGTTGTTGTATGTGTGTAGCACACAGTTTTAATTTATAAAAATAATTAGTTTCCACGTAGAACATAGCAAATTTTTGAAATTTCTTCCGATACATCGCCCTAATTAACACTGTTAGATATATTCTTTCAGCATGTGTTTATTCATGCAGTCATTAGATTAACTGCTTATTCATTTAATCCTTCGTTCATTCAATCACTCATTCATTCATTCCTTCTTTTGTGACCTAGCGTTCAGTTTGCCTAACTTTAAACGTGCGTTGTTGTTTGTCACTTCGTAATGTACACATGCACATACCTATACACATGCACTTTCAAATAAATGCCTTACATTTTACAAAATTTTGAAATATTATTAACATGAGCGCAATATTCAAATATATAAGAATGGATAGATTAAAATATCACATAAAACAACTAAATAAACAGTCGCAACAATGAAACTACTCTTAGCACGTACAATACACACAGACAGGCTAATGTATCAATCAAGACGGTCCTCGTTGTTTTGCTGTTTAATTCAGAGTAGCAAAGATCTTTCTATCGATATGTTCATTCATTAATTTACTGGTAACTTCTCTGTATGCGAGTCTTAATCTCAAATGAATATTAAATACCTTTTTCATATTAAAGTATAATAATTATAATATATTGAAAAATATGATTTAAATAATTAGCAGTGCCTATTTTATTTTCTATTGAAACTCTGTAGAAATCATATAGAGCCATTTGTATGCTGAAAACTTTGAAAATCATCTTGAGTCATTTTATGATGCGCACGTGATCTCGAAACAAGCGGTCTTACATTATAATATCTATAATTATTAAAATGTAAAAAAAAAGTATTGACAAATTCTAAGTACATAACATACACACCACTCACACATACAAACACCACACACACACACACACACACACACACACACACACACACACACACACACACACACACACACATATATATATATATATATATATAAAGAAAGATTCAGAAGAGAGAGAGAGAAAATACAGAGCTTAAAGTGATGTCTGTATCCAGTCCATATTTAAACATGTTTGCGTTCAGTTCATGCAGTAACAGATGGAGGGAATAAAGAAGAAATAATAGGCGTGGTGCATGTTGTATGATAAGTTATCGATTATAGATGGTTTTTTGCATCATGTACAATTTTAGTTACTCATCACAGCACACATCACATCCATTCACATCACATCCATTCACATCACATCCATTCACATCACATCCATTCACATCACAACACACATCATCACCCCATCATCACATCATATCATATTGCTTATTCATTTCTCTTGTTTGTTTTGCTTTTTTATATTTTTGTTTTGTTTCATATGATTAATTCCAAGTTTTACTATCATCATCCTTTTCTCGATCATTATCTTTTTCATCACGATTATCATTGTCATCATCATCATCTTCTTCCTCCTCCTCATCATCGGCATGCACGTGCGTGACGTTACATAGGAGATTGTATTAATATTACTGTGCACTGGCTTCATGTATCGAATGTTAAACAGGCAACCTCTCTCATAGCCTCACCTCATACGTGCAGCACACGCACGAAACTTATATCATCACGCACATATATTACACACACGCACATATATATATATATATATATATATATATTATATATATATATATATATATCACACACACAAACACACACTTCCACGGACACGCGCTTGCATTCACACAGAAACTTGTATACAATACACACTCATATACAAATGTACACCTTTACATTCTGCTTATTTCATCCATTTAAATAAATCAAAATTTACTGAGATAAGGCACAAACACGCGTTCTATCGAACTGATTATAATACATTTGACGTTAGAGCTACCATTTACATAGTTAATGTTTGTTTTTCTAAATTCAGAATCACTGAGGCTTTCTGTAAACAATAAGATGAGGTTTTACATTTGCTTAATGCATTCTCAAATAATGATATCAGAGTAGAGCCAGCCAGATAATATTTCATTCACTGCAGAACAAAAAATTTTTTTAAAAAGAGCTGAAAACATTCATGAGCACGTAGTTTATGAACACCAACGTAACGCTACCTACACAACATCACACACAACATCACACGCAACATCACGCGCAACATCACACGCAGCATCAAACGATCACCCAACAAATTTAAACGAGTCGGTGTTTTTTTGCAAACATACATTGGGTAAATAGGCTTTGTTCATCGTACGTAATGCAAACACAGCCATGCATACGTTGTTAATTGATTGATTTCAGTATTATTTCCTCATCATCAACTTATATTTATTTTATTATTTCATCTATTCAAACAGTCTCTTCCATTTCTTTCATCCTACCGTATTTATTCAATTTTTTCAACCAATTTCGAATATGATGAACGAATTTTTTAAATAAAATGCGTTATGTGTTATTCGAAATGTATTTAAAATACCACCATTGCTAACACCTGACCGTCAAAGTTGAAGTCTTTTCTTGCTCGCAACACATGCATGCACATTTTGGCTCTTGCACTGATTAATTAAATTCGTTTGTGTCCGTACTTTAGCCGCACAAGCGTTAATAATTAATTCATTTTACAAGTTGAATAAATTTTTTAGAACTTAAAATGCTCCAAATCATCTATGAAAAAAAATCATCTTTTTTGAGTCGTTAGAATTAAAAAAAATTCAAATAAGTTTATAATAAATGAATCTTTACATATGCATTTATATTTTTATGAATATTGTTCGACAAAACTACGAAAACATACTGAAACGTTGAAATGTTTTTAATGAAGCTGATCAACTTTCAATTTGATTCGGTCAGATATGAGCAACAGACTTCCAATATTTCACGACAACATGAACTTTCAAGATAGAGGTGACCAGATGTTGAGGGACATGAAGCTACAGATGGACAACGATTTCATGAGAGGATTTGGAAGACCTTTTAGGTGTGTTTTTAAGACGTTATTTAAATTTTGAATCGTTTTTAATTTTGCGATTTAATGAAAAGTTAAAATATTAACAACTGAATTTTTGAATAATTTTTTCGTAAGAAGCACACTTCCTCATCAGCCGCCTAGTTGGTTTGGACCGAATGATTCAATGGATCGAGATTTTTTCCATCTCCGCCCCACACACACATTTCCATCATCAACTTTCGATTCTAAAGTTGGAATGATGCCAGGAATGAGTTCACCTGGTCAAATGGAGGTACTTGATCCAAAAACTGTCAACAATCTCTTCTTAGAAGACCCTGAAAACAAGAGCAGACTGTTCCAGATGAGTTTCGATGTTAAAGATTATGACCCTAAAGTGAGTTTCATTTCTATTACTTCTATGTTTTGGGACGTTTTTGGTAGAATTTTTTAAATCATCAAATTATTTTTATAAGCTATGTACATTTGCGAATGGTATTAGGATAAAGTTATGCTTAATAACATTTATTTTTAAAATTTTGATAATCAAAAAAATAAATATACACATAATACGAATTTTAGGCAATCCAGGTAAGAGTTGAAGATAAATGTCTGGTAGTTGAAGCAAAGCAGTCGGAAGTTAAAGAGGGAGGAACCAAGGTGGCCAGAGAATTTTGCAGAAAAATACAACTTCCTCCCGAGATAGATCCCGAAAAATTATCATCAACTTTATCATCGGATGGCATCTTATCAGTGAAAGCACCCGTTCCTCCGCAATATCATCATGTTCAATCTGGAAATGGTAGCAGCACTTTCCCCCACGCAACAATGCAGCAGCAGCAACTTCATATGCCACAACAACAGTTTCCCAGCAACAACAATACTTTTGTAACAACGTTTAAAACATCACCACCTTCATACCAACAGCAGCAACAGCAACGCGTACCATTCTCAAGTGCTCCTCCAGACTTTCCTGACTTTTCACCCCCTGCCTTTCCAGTGATCACAAACACACCCCTCGCTCAACCACCATTCATTTCTCCTCCGTCATCAACCCTAACATCAAACAGCTCAAACTTCACAGTGCCGGTCTTGAGTGCAGACATCACAACAAAAGACCGTCCCATGTTCACGGTACTCGCTGATGGCTCTCGTAAAAGGATGGACCTGCTTCTCGACCTCGGCAGGCAGTACACGGCCGACAACATCATGGTCAGATTTGATGATCGTTCCAGGAGACTGACCATTGAAGCTTCCAAGGAAGAAAGAGATTCAAGTGGAAAAGTTTCCAGGTCTCAAACGCAAAAGCAGTACGATTTAGCTGAAAATATTGAACCAAGTTCAATTCAGGCCATCATGAAACCGGAAGGTCTTCTACATATCAGCGCTCTTACATCCATTTATTGATTCAATAACATTTGGGTGAGGTTAACGTAAATGGATTGTTATAAATTTTTCTGTAAGGCTGTGGCAAATGATTGCAAAATATGATCTGATCTGTATAAAGTTGTTCTATCTTCCAACCGCTGGTTTAATGATCTGAAATATAGATGTGTTCAGTATTTTATATTTATATTTTAATCGCTAGATCTTATTCTTTTCGTAAATTTAGTTGCATATTTATGTCTAGCTTATAATGTAAATGATGACAATACGATGTTTAAAAGTCATTATATATGGTTAACACAAATTTAATGATGTATTTTTTTTTAAATTTCACCCAATGCTTGCATTCATTTATTTTCATCGATGTTCAAGTTCACGATATTTAATATTTTAGTCATAGCTCATTTAAATGAAATGATTCAAGTGTTTCGCACCAGAAGATTTAAAAAACATTTATTTTGTACACTGTTTAATATAATTATTTATTGAAATAATTTATTTCAATGATTCAGAATAGAATCATAACAAAATAATAATAATAAAAATGATTATTCATAAAAGTTTTGTTTACCGTATTACCGTAAAAAATCAATTGATTTATTTTAATTGCCACACTCCATTCAATTAATTAAACTTCAAATCCACTGATAAATTTTAATTTTGATTCACAAACAAACCAACATGCAGACGTGAAAAATGTTCTTTCTTTCTTTCTTTCTTTTTTTCTTTTTTTTTCATTCTTTCTCTTGCCTTATCTCTTCAGGACATTGGCGACCATCGACCTCCACAAAACCCGATCTTTAACACTTTGTAGTAGTTGAAATGTGGTGATATTCAACGAGTGACACTAGGACTTCACACAACGTTCTAACGTTCCATGTTGCCAAGTAATGGCAACCTACTGTCCACAACTTTTGCCAAGAAAATTATCGAATTAATTAACACAAACCAAATCAAAAAACATGACAGTTTTTTTAACAACGCGTCAAAAATTGGTAATTTGTAATTAAACTCTGAATCAAAATACAAAGTTGGTAATGAAAAATGACAATCATTTTTACATCAAGAAATTATATTTATGTAATAAGGAAGTGTTATCAGGTTTTTTAAAACGTTTTTACCTTTACTGCACGGATGATTTTGGTTTTATTATTTAGAAAAAAATCCTCTTTTAGACATTCAATACAAATGATGAGGATCAATTTTTCCATTCTCTACGTATCTGCCATCATCTTCATCACGATCATATTATCGGTTATCAAAATAGCCGGAACCAAAATTAACTTCTTCCAACATAAATGATATTATATTAATAATAATGCTTCGTTAATCGTAATTTATTTTCATATTTCTTCAGTTGAGGGCGCACAATCGGCGTTCGTTAATTTTTGTTACGCTGCACGACGTCATTTATTTGTTCTGACGAGAGTAATTTTTTCCCAATTTAATTAACTTTATTTCTGCCGTTTAAGTGCTCGTGTATATGTAAAAATTTTTTGAATGGTTTCGTAATTTTTCAATCCAGCGTTTGAGACATCTGTTAGATCTTTTGTAAATAATTTTCAAAATATATCTCTCAAATTTTCATCTTAGCATCTGCTAAATTTTTAACCATTAACACGTGACGCTTCTTGTGGTCATCTATCTCCCAACTAGTTGTTTTTAGACTTCAAAGAAATGTGTGAAAATTGAATAACAAAGTTAAAATTTAATAAATATTTGAGGTACGCAAATGAAGCGCTAGTAGCTGAAGATGTTTTAAATTATGCATTGTATTTATATAACACGCGCAAGTTGTATCTTTAAATTAAAAATGGTATTGATTCTCTCTGCAATTATAAAAAAATTTTTGCAACAACCCAAATAAAAACTTAAAAAGATTTTTGTTTCAAACAAAACTTTTTTTTAAATATTTTAAATAAGATTCATATACATTATATAACAATTATTTCGAAATGTGTTTCATCTTAGCCTTCGTCATGGAATCTTAAAAAGTTCTCTCATTTTTTATCACCTACATCTGCGTTAAAAAAAGCAATGTCATGTTTTTGAAAATAAACTACCATAGTTCAAAATGTGTAAGGCTCCAAATTTTAGGATTTGAAAGATTTTTGTAACATTTTTGCAGAAAAAATATCTAAAATTCTTGATAATGAAAAAACTTTTACGCTCCATAGAAAGCATCATTTTTTGGGGCAACGAAAGCATGAGTAGATGAACGTGTTAATTAACAAAATCAGATGTTGAGTCAGCTCGTTGTGTCATTTTTGAGACTGACATCATTCAAAATCCTGCGTTACTCGCGTTTTCAACGTGGAATAAACATTTTTCGTACTTTTTGAATTGTTAGCAAATAATATAATTGATAGCTTATAATTCAAAAATTTTAATTTTGGCCAAAAGCTAACTATATCGAGGCTCAGGGGGCTTTTAGAAAATAAAAAGTTCAGCTAGGGTTAATTTGGAATTAAATTTTGAAAAAATTGATGAGTAATTAAGACAGTTAAAATTATTATATATATTTCATTTATTATTAAATGGAACACAATCTCCATATAAATTTTAAAACTACACAACAACTAACTTTACTCCAATCCAGACGTCAGTCAATTCAGTTCATCCAGGTCACGAAAAACTTGAAGGTTGGCGGTGCAATTTCTTCAAATTGATAAATTTTTTATAATAATTTATTTGCACGAACATACGCAATACACTAATTGAAAACTAAAGAACAAATTAATTATTACAGTGAGATACTTTTAAGACTAAACGCTCCCAGTTTGATTATATAGCAACAGTAAAATTTTGTTCCGTAGATTTTTTAGCAGTGAAAGCATGAGTTAATGTGTGATTTAATCAGTTAAATGGAATGGAAGTTGCGTGGGAACTCGCTGATTGCGTACACTGATCAAAATATACATGAGATCATAAGCCTCAAACACGTCATAACACATAAAACATCAGAGAAATGAAGACATGTTTTGTGTAAGTTATATCTTGTTAGAGTTTTTCATGCAGGGTTATTTATATTGTTGTGGGCCGTTTTTGTGACTCGCGGAACAAAGTCGATTGTATGACATCCATCATCACAATGATTTTTATATGGTAATTTTTTTATATTCAACGACCATCATCTTTTTGTTTTGACGTTTCTAAATTTCTATGATCATACGAAAAATTAAAATTCACGGATAATTTTTTAAAAGTAATTGTTTGCTAATATTTAAATTATGTGGTTTTTTAATTCTTCTTTACAAGTCTATTTTCATTTCAAGGAACAAAGAGGAAGAGGATCCATGGTATGTTTTTCCAAATTAGAATTCCTTGAAGTGCCCAATTCAATGTTTAGTTATTAGTATAAAATCACTGCAAAATAAAAGTTCTATGAAATAAAATGTAATTTAAAGAAACAAAAACAAATGAGAGAGAAATGTTATGGAAAATATTCTGGTATTCGAAGGTGTTAAAATAAGTTCAAATTTTAACCAATGGCAGAAGTGAAAAAAAATGCAACGATTAGTTTATCTGGCGTCCGTTCTATCGGTTCTGAAGTTTGCACCCAGATTAATTGCACGAGTTTCAAAATTCTACAGCATTCCAAACTATATGAAGTATGAACTTCACCGATTACCTGAGATTGAAAGAATTGAATTTAAAATCGCGCTCATAGTAAGAAATTGTTTGACCAACAAGCACCAGATTACCTAAAAAATAATAATATAGTGTCTGATGTTCGTGATAGAGTCAGGTTTAGACCGGCGAGCATGGTGATCTCGTTTTTCTACGCTACAGAACATCTCATTTTGGGCCAAAGATTTTTTCAGTTGCGCCTGTCAAAGTTTGGAACTTATTACCGGCTGATTCAAAGGATGTCGTCGCTATCAGCCGGGATGTTTTCAAGAGCCGATTGAAGCTTCATTCATTTATTCAACAAAATGCAGCATAGACAGGGTTTCTCGAGATAACTCATAAGTATGTTGCATAACCCTTATAAATATTCAGTACAATTAGCTTTGATAAAAAAATTGCGAGTTGAATTACACAAAAAGACAAAATATGAAATTTAAAAAAATGTTTCTTTACGCAGTCAGTCGTTGTAAAAATGGCAAAAGTATTAGATCTCTGCACGGTACATATGCTCGTGGGCGCAATCTGTGCCGTCCAGCTCAAAACCATCCTGTGATGTAAGCCTTGTGTTTTTTAACTTACTAATACTCATCTATCTCAACAACATTTGTATTTCCCAACAAAAAGTCATTCAAGCAGATGTAGCACAAAAATTCACGCGGCCACAAGCATTCATTCAATGTACGGTTCGACACATCATTCATATTACTCTTATTTCTTGTTTAAGTTAAGCCAAATATTGTAAACTATTTTTGAAATGACAACTTGGTGATTCTTTTTCTGCGAAACAAACTTGTATAAAATTTTTTATGACATTTCTCGTCAAAATTAAAAAGTAAATGTTTCAACTATCTTTTTCAAATTAGAGGTAAATTTGTTGAGAATTAAGCAGTTAATTATGCCGGTTTTGAGAGCAATGGTGTGGATATAATAAGAATGCTATTAATTTTAATCAATTATATTTCTTGTCATCAATTGGCTACCATAATAACTTTTTATCAACTGTACAACTCTACAGATGATCAGCTTTTTCAACGTAAACTAGATCATGTACATTGTACATCCACAATAACCATGGACTCCAAAGCATTGCCAGCAACATCATTTAAGACGCCTCAACAACGAGACAAAAAACATTTTCAAGATTAAATCACATTTTTTTTAAAAATGTGCTGTTTGATTTGCTGAAAATTTTTGTTTTCTGTAAACATGGCCTTGTTTAGCGGGCTTAATGTGCCTGCAATCTAATAAATTATTTGGTCAAGATGCGCAGTATATGAAAAGGAATTTTTTATTTATCATCTTGTTTACATTTTTGTTTATTACGTGTTTGTGTGTGTGTTTGTGTGTGTGTGTTTGTGGTGTGTCTGTGAGAGTTGGTGGCTGGTTGTCATGTTCGGTCATTTGGTCGAGTATGCTCCGCAAGGATGTAACTTCGCACATGCATTTACCTGGTCGAGTTGAGAGTCTCTGTAATGAGCCTGGTGCTTTACAATGTTAAAAGAAATGACTGGATTGATGAAAAAGTTCATGGAATATGTCGTAAATGATTGTTGCTGGTTCGTACAACAACATGATTTTGTTCATTTTATTAACTGAATTTAATTATTATTGCCATTCTTGTATGGTTTTATGAAGATTATGTGTTAAGTTCATTTTTTATGCGTTAACATTAAAAGTTCTAATATTTGTTGTTTGGTGTGTTTATGAAAAAAATTTTTATAGAATATTAATTTATTTTGCTTTTTTCTCAACATAGTGAGAAGTAGCAATTTAATTCTTAAAAATATTTTAAATGGGATTAAGATGAAAGAAGTTGTTTTAGTACTCCAGAGTTTTTTGTGAGTTAACTGAAAAGTTTTTCAACGTAAATTGCGTGCAGTATGATAGATAACCTTTCACGTTATCATAACAAGACCGCATCATCATATAG